AAAAACTCATTATTAAATAAAAAGGTTAAGTGTTTTGTGATCGCAAAGGCACATTATAGTGTCTCTAGTTTTAGATTTATTTTCTGAAAAATATGACTCTTCCTGACTAATTAGACATAAAACATACTTTGACGAATCAATTAAAATGTTTTTCAATAATGAGGCTGAGCCTTAATTGGAAATATGAGCTCGTAAAATTATTGAACTGACTGGTTTCTCTGGCAGTGGCACGTCATGAAAAGTGCATCTTGGGGTCAAGTGGAAACATTTCTGTTGCGGATTTTAAGTTGGGAAATAAACTTTTTGACAAATTATTTAAGAAATCAACAAATTCTTCGGTGTTAGAAATTGTCTAAGATATTTTTTTTATAGTCAAGAAAGAAAATGTGCTTTCGATGACTAATGTGTACTGCCAAGGAAACAAATCAGAATTTTGGACTTTTCTTGATGCATACTTACGACGACAGCAAATATCTGACAGAGCTAAAATGTTGAAAAGTCTTTCCCTACTCATAAGTGAATCGCTTAAAATGTAACCATCTGGATCTTTTTCACGAGCAGACACCAATATTTTTTATATAAAAATAACCAAAATTTGTGTATATTTTAATAATAACTCATAACTTTTACCGGTTGAAAATTTTTTCATGGTATCGTGTATTAATTCGAAAGCATCTTGAACTATTTTGGGTGTTTCGACATGTTTTTTACTAATTCAAATCGGTGCATAGGATCCCATTACAAAACATTTTTTTTTTGTTGCCAATTAATCTTGCAGATGTTTTCCAACATCAAGATTTACGCATTGATCATCAACCGCAAGGCCAGTTAAATGCTGGCGAAATATATGTGGTTTCAAGACCAAATTTTTCAAGTGTGTTTAAAATACTACTCGATAGACCATGACCGGTAAAATCAGCGTGAGCATTATGTTCCAGATAAATTGACTTATTGAAGGATTCATGATTTATGTCGAATATAGGTATCCTTAAACCAATAATGTGACGACTACGTCTATTAGACGTCATCTTATCAGCAACAACTCCGATTGGAAGTTAATCGCTTACAATAAAAATACGAATTTCTTTACGAAAAATATCATATATATGTGGAAGAAATGTTTGCGCAAATAAATTTTTTTAGGAACTCAGGAATTTCTTTTTTTATTCTACAGAATCTTTCAAGACACTTTCCAGCACTCAACCATCTTACATGATTGTATAGCAGCAAGTCTCCATATTCGGCTTCCATTTCCTCAAAAACTGCTTTAATTGCTCATGCAGAAGTGCTCGATTTTCACTCCGTTTTATATTAATAACTTTTATGACAAGTTTGAAAACTTAATATTGTTTCAAGATTAATGCAATGAATCGTCGGACAAAATACACCATTTTCTTTTGGAAATCCCGCTAATCCAGTTTTTCTCCCCCCCCCCCCNCCCCCCCCCCCAACATCGCTAGTGCACCATCCGTTACAATTGCTGAGCATTTGCTAAAACCTGTTCTGCCATCTGCTTTTTTTACTGCTTCGTAGATGTCTCTTCCTTTTGTAGTATCAGTCATTGGACACATTTCCAATGTAATCCTTCCTAGGTAGAAATGTCATCCTGCATAATGCGTTTAAATATTAATAACTGACTCACATCCGTTCAATCAATGCTTTCATCAAGGCAAATTGAAAAATATGCACTTTTTTGAACTAATCAATCAATGATTATTCTACCTGTTCTGATATAGCAGTGGCTCTCCTTTGTAATGTTTGATTAGAAAGCGGCACCGAATCGAATTTCTCGGCCTCATCTTTAATTACCAAAAGCCTTCACTACTTTAATAGCACATTTTTTTATTCAATTGCCATCAGTAAATGGTTTCTTTGCTTTAGTAGACACAAGAGAAACGGAATATGAAGCATGCAGAGCAGAATTCAACATGGGAAAATTTGTTAAAAATTCCTGTTGGTTGTTTCAATTTCTTCTTTAAATCATTGATCAAAATACTTCGGGATTCTCCTCCATAGTTTTGATACTTTTATCATGCAGCATTGAATAATGTGTCTTATCTGAATAATGTTAAATTTCTAAGACACTGATATCATTTGCATGCAAACTAAGCACTGAAATTTCTCCTTATTTTGACCAATTGAATTATCTCTTACCCAACGATCATTGAAAGCTCTATTTTCACTATCAATCTGGTGTTTCTTTCCACTCATTATGAGTATTTAGTATAAAATAAAAATTAATTGAATAATTAGAGAACTTAAAACTTGTTTGAAGAAAAATGTATTTTCTACCAAAAATAACAATGGAAAAATCCGCTTTTTTCGCCACGAAAGAAAAATAAGCGAATGTATTGACAATCTTAAGCTGAATGAAAAGCCTCCAATACCGTAAAATCAAGGCTCGGGGCGAGGAACTTTTCTCACTTAATGTCACTATCTAAAAAAATAGCAACTTTTATTTACTATTTTTAAGCCCCTGTCACTTATCTCTCTTCTTTTAATTGCGTTCCACAATTTTCCTTCTTCAATCTGATAAAAAGGAACTTTTAATATCGATTAGCAAGATGGCAGACTGTGAGGATGATGCGTTCTACTCCTTCTTGAAACGTACTCTATTGTAAAAAACGTCCTTCCTTCTAAGTGCAATATGAATCAACAGATGCTAGGAAAGCGTTGGGTTATTTGAAATTTCTTGGCAATTTGAGAAAATAAAGTCTGTTGTTCATCGTGAAGTTTGGAAAGAAAATATTATATAGCGAAGCCGTGGCGGCATTGGTGAACATAGTAAGGTGAATTCTTCAAACTGTGCTCTTTTAATATCGGCTGAAAATTGTTCGGAGGAAGTTAAAAAACGTTTCAAGGCACAGATTGACCCTAAAATGATAAAATAGGAATAGGCAAGTTAAAAGTGTTTCGGAAGAAAATGTTGAGAAATGGATCTGAAAAGTTTCCTTGTAATATTTTGTAATTGCCCTGACATATTTTAAGATCCGGGAAAGTTCACGAGACGTAACTGCAAATAATAATCAAACACAGTCTTCTCAGCCGTCCGCTCTGCAATCTCGCTATTCTGTTGGACGTTTGGAATCGTCCTTTTACTTCCTTGTATGCCCCTATAAAAGGGATGTCACAAATGTAATTTTCACATCTAGTTTCAATAAACTAGTTGTCACCCATCACCTCGATCCATGGCTCTTAATTAGAAGTCAACAGCAGAGCGTGGTTGCTCACTTATGCAGTAGCTCTATACTTCGTAATGGGACTGGTGAAGGCATCAAAGAAATAGGTCATTACCGGTAGCTGAAGGCCAGATTGGGTTTAGACTGGAGGAATGTAAAAGAGGCCTCAACTGGGTTCTAATCAGAAGAAAGTGAGTCGCATTCTCCTTCCTACATTCAATTCAATTCAAACTCAGTCGGACGTGACTGGAATACAGGTCAAGAGAGGTAGAAAGTAAAAGTCCTTTCTTCTGATCAAGATTAATGTACCTGATCACCTTCGAAACACACAGACTTTGAGGAATAATGGATGGAGACTGGATCCGGAACTGCGATGCTGAATATTTTCAATGCTGAAAATTACCAGAATTGGAAGAGACGAGTACTAGCCTATATGGAAGCCAAGGAGTTGAGCGAATTTCCGGAAGCAGAGGCCCTAGCAGCCGATGCAGCTCAAGTCCTAAAGTCGAAGAAGGCCTATGCAACATTTATACAGTATGTCTCTGATATTCTCTCCACTCTCCAATCAGAAGTAACCGCAGCGGACATTTGGATCAAACTGAAAAAACTGTACGGTGAAGCCTCAAAGGGAACCGTGAGTCAAATACTTACAAGAAAAAGGCTGATGACCGTCAAGAAGACCAGAGAAGTTTTAATAAGGGAACATCTGGATCTTAACGGTAAACTGGCCAGCGACCTGAAAGCAGCCGGAGCAACAGTATCCGATGCAGATATTATTGTCTACATTCTGATGTCGCTTCCCAAGTAGTACGAGACAACCTAGACGGTTCTTGAAGCAATGCCTCAAGGACCAACAGGAATACATTAGTCCGAAGTGCGAGCCAGACTTCTGGATGCCGAAGCCCTACTGATGGAAAACAGAAAAGAAAATCCCCCAAGTCAAGCAAGATGCCTGGGTGATACAGCCGCGAGAAACCTGCAACATATGCCGAAGAAAAGGACATATTGCTAGATACTGCAGGAACAATAAAATGTGTTACAATTGTGGCCTGAAGCGACATCAAAGAATGAAATACTGCAAGTCCGGGGTAAAGGCGACATCGAAGGAGAAACATCCGAAGGACTAAGAATCGTTTTAAAGGACGTTTTAAACGTGCCGTGACCTTTCTGGAAACCGATGGATACGTGCCTGGAAACCGATCTAAGAAAAGTGTAACCGTATATAACCAACTCATTCCGCATGCTAGTCCAGAGATTCATTTTCTAGTGAATGTATTTCAATTGAAAGAAGAAAACCGAATATCACTTTAAGGTGAGTTATTTTTTTTTTAATGTTTTATTACTAAGCTTTGTCAAAAGTTAACCGCAATTAAACTATTAATAAAAAACTACTTTTCATTTATTTAGCTGTAAAAATGATATATGTAAAAATAATAATACAACAAATATAAATAAATTAGACAGATATGTACCGTATTTCTCCGAGTATTTTCATTTATAGAAATGCTGCATTTTCGGAAAAGTCGGATCCAGCATGACCTTCCTAGATCTAGTTCCATTAAATTCTGCATTCACTCAATTAATTGGAAAGATTTGAAGTCTGCTTTAAAAAAAATCATAATCAAATATTTAACCATTTTCTTATATTTGTTTGTTTTTTAATGAACAGAAGGAAACGATATGTGTGATTTTATTTGTTGTGTTTAATCACATGAATTATAAAAGAATTGAACAGAAGATCTAATTAAAAAAATTGTAGGGATTGATTTAAACAGAAAGATAAAATTCTAACGATTTAATTTTCACTCTTTCTTGACCATGAAAAAGATAATGGTAGAACCAAAGATAATAGCTAATGTCTTTAAACAAAAATTATTTTTAAAAACTAAACTATGTTAATAATTCTTTGTCATTGCATTTATTATCAAATTAATTATTTACTCTTTTTTTCAGTTATGGAATTCGTCAAGACAAATAAAGGTGGTAAAAAATTATTACATGAAGAATACTCTTACTGTTTCCATAAGAAAAGTTCAGTAGCGATTAGATGGCGTTGCACACAACAACACTGTGTTGTAAAGGTAAGAAAAAACTACTTTTGTGAAGTAATGCCTATCTTTAAACTAATGGAATATATTTTTATAAAACGTCGTGAATTGCCTTGTTTATTTATTTATTTTTAATTGAAAAAAACTTTATTGTAAAATTAATAAGTTCAAAATAATATAATTGTAAATGGTGTTTTATTTTCTTATATTTGATCTGATTATTTTATATAGTATATATATATTCGTATTAAAATTTATCTATGTCTTAAAAGGCTATTTGTAAAATTACTTGCAACAGAACGAGGTTTCAAAATTTAGTTTTGACTTTTTTTATATAAAAGTATTTGTTGTATGTTCTAATAATGCTAATGTCTTAAAGTTTTCAATATTAATGTTTTCTAGCTTTTTAGAACATCCATACTATACTATCCATACAAACATTATGATTAATATATCTAAATGATACTATTATGATTAATATATCTAAATGTATCGAATTTAATGCCAATGTTATTGATATCAGGAATATAGTATAGATCAGGGGTAGGCAACGCGGCACCCCCGATCGATTTTTAATGCGCCCTCGCTGGACTAATGTAAATGTATGATAGCCAGAGCGATTTACTTACTCTTGTCAAACGGCGATATACAGCAAGTAGTCAGTTGAGTTTAGGATTGTGCATAGATTAGCAATTTGCTAACCTTGAGCGTATCTAATAACACGCACGTATTTTTTGTTAGTTTGTGATCATATTTCGAATAGACCATGCATAGACCGTGCATTTAAAACTACCAAGTAATCCGAAATAACTCTTTTCTTTCAAAACCCTTTGTTGAAAGCGATGAACTGGATCCTAAATTAAACAATGACCTAGTTTGGATGGGTGATCTAGTTTCGCCACTGATGTAGTTTCTGACGCATCAGCTAGGTTAACTGTGACTGTATTGTAACGTGCTGTTTTAGTTTCAGTTTGCTTTTATGTTTGAGCTTGTGTTTGTTTATCTTTGGTATAACGCTTCTTTGCTATGCTTTCGTTATGTTTTAAATAATAAACGTTGTTAAGTTTAATAACGTTGTGTTTCTTTTTAAAATAGAGTTGTTATAGTTCTAGTTTTTTGTTTTTTAACACCCTTCATGGATAAATGTAAATGAAAAAGAACATATTATTTTAACGATGAATGGGAACATCTATATTGTTTCGTTGATTACAAAGGGAAGTGTATTCGTTTGTTGTGTAATAATAGTGTTGCGATTCTCAAGAAAAGTAATGTTGAACGACATTCTAAGACTGTTCATACCAATTTTGATACTGACTATCCAATGAACTCTGAAATTAGAAGAAAAAAAATTATTTCTTTAAAATCTTCAATAACTAACCAGCAAAGTTTTTTTACTAAACCACTGCAACAACATAAAGCAGCAATGATCGCGTCATATAAAATATCGCATTTGCTAGCTAAGAATAAAGAACCATTTACAGATGGAGAATTAGTGAAAGAAGCCATGGTAGAAGCTGCTGATTCACTTTTTGAAGAATTTAGAAATAAAAAGGAAATAGTTTCAGCTATAAACACGTTGCAATTATCAGCACGAACTGTTACTAGAAGAATTGAAGTAATTGCGGAGAATTTGGAGGCAGAATTAGCAAATTATATGGAAAATTGTATTTTCTTTTCGCTACAGATGGATGAATCGACAGACGTGACAAATATATCACAATTAGCAATTTGCGTGAAGATGGTATTTTCTGATTTTACAACAAAAGAAGAATTCCTTAAAGTTCTGCCATTAAAGGGAAGCACCAGATGTAAAATTACCTGTACAAAAATTATCGTCAATTACAACAGACGGGGCACCAGCGATGACTGGTAAGAAAAAAGGATTTATTGCCTTATGTAAACAGGATTCCTTATTCCTGAAATTTATTTCTTACCATTGCCTCATACATCAGGAGATGTTATGCGCAAAAACAATCGGTTTTCAACACGTATTTACGATAGTAACAAAAATTATTAATTCCATAAGATCGGGAGCTATGCAACACAGATTGTTTAAATTACTTTTAGAAGATGAGGACGTTCAGTTCACAGATCTTCTTTTTCATACTGAAGTTAGGTGGCTGAGCAGAGGTAAAATACTTGAGCGGTTTATCATGCTTTTGCCACAAATAAAGGAATTGATTGCATCAAGAGGCGAATTTCACGAGCAATTAGAAAATAAGGATTGGCTAATCGACCTCTGAGTTCTGACAGATATAACGGCAAGTTGAATGAATTAAATTTAAAAATACAAGGGGAAAATCAGCATATCGCTGACATGATTAGTGCAGTAAATGCATTCAAGTGCAAGTTAGTGTTGTTGAAATCCCATCTATTGAAAAAATCATTATCACATTTCTCAAATATAAAATATACTGTTGAGAGTTTAAATTTGAATAATGAAAATTTTACTGCTACATCATATTTAGATATTATAGATAAGCTAATAGAGGAATTTTCTTCTAGATTTTGCAGCATTAGAACCCGTTCTAAGATATTTCATAACTCCATTCAATGTTACTGAAGATGATGTCCTTGAAATAGTTTCAGTGTATTTCGAGCTTCATAATATCGAAGACCTAAAATTAGAAATAATAAACTTGATATTATTTTAAAAGCGCATAGTAATGATAAAATGTTTTGGAACTTAGTCGATGAAAATAAGTATCCTATTTTAAGGAAATGTGCGCTCAAAATTTATTCATATTGTGCAACAACATACGAGTGTTTGTTCTCAAATATGAAATATTTGAAATCAAAATACCGAACAAAGCTTAATGACTCACATTTAGATATTTGTTTAAAGACCGGGAACTCTAAATATATCCCCAATTATAAGAAATTAGCTGAAAATATGGACACCCAAGTTTCACACTGAATATGTTAAAAACAGAATACCATTTTCCTTTGCTAGAAAACAAACTAGATAGCGCCACGAGATTTTGAACTCTCTAAGAACAACAAATTTTTAGTTAGTTTTGTTAATGTTACTGTCGATCGAGAGATCATGTTGTATTTGTAGTGGTGTAAATATACACATATTAACTAGTTCGAAGGAGTATCTTTTCTTGAGTTTATGGTCATTATTTTGATTTATTTAGATACCGCCCGGGTTGAAGAACAGGTAAGAAACCTTTCATTGATACCTGTTTTTGTTGAAGATATAAAAGAAATAAAAAGAATTGCGCCATTAAGGACAAACAGGTTGCCGACCCCTGGTATAGATTTTAAGACAACAAGGAGCTTTTTGTCAACTTTTGTGTTTCAGAAGTTATTCGTGTAAAAATTTTTAACTATGTTAATTTAGAAGTAAAGGAAAATACCATACAGTCTTTCAAAAAGAAAATTAAAAAAAAATTAATAAATAAAAAAAAACTGAATTAACATAGCATAAAAATATTTAGTTAAAATCATTCATTTGAATCATGTGATTTTTTAAAAGCATAGATTTATCTAAAAACTATTATTTACACAGTACTACATTATGCAAAAAAAACTATTTGAAATAAAATACAATGTTTAATGTAAACTTTGCTCAGCAAAACATTGTTATTATTAACCTTATAAAATACCTCAATGTTTTGCCCAGGGCCACTAAATTTTGAAGCACGCCCCTTCCGCTAACCGCTTAATCACATAGCTACGCGCAAAGAATTATCATACTTTATAGTAGTTCCCTTGATTGTTATTAACTTGTTACTTATATATTTGATTCTAATGCATATGCTTCATTGCTGATACTTTCTTTAAATTACTAATTGTTAATCTCATGTTTTAGTGCAAGGGCAGTCTTAACACCAGTTTCGACAGAACTGAAATTTTAAACACTTCCCAGCATTCGCATTCTCCGGATGAACATTTAAATGAAAGAATAAATGCCTTGCTAAACATGAAGAGAAAAGCGGAGGAAACACACGATAAACCTTCGCAGATATTTGCGGAAACAGTAGCTGCAATGTCGATGGATGCAAGTTTGACTTTGCCAAGTGATGACTCCCCTTAAAAGAACATTAAGGAATCATAAAGCCAAGGGTATACCAAAAGAGCCCCTGGATCTCAAAGACTTGAAATTGGAAGGTGTGTATAATTTAATAATTTAAATAGTATATTTCACTCCTGTAAAATGAAGTTTTATTTCATTTTATTCATTTATCTTTATATGGGGAAATTTGAGATTTCAATGTTTGAATGTTTAATTTTTTAAAAAAGGTGAATGTTAGTTTTTCATAACATTTTGAAGTATTAAAATAAGTAAATTTGTCATAGATAAAAACTTATTACAATGCTGACACATTAAAAAGCAGCTATTTTAAATCAATCAGTAAAAGTAATAGTCGCTGCAAATAAGAATTAAGCTTCATTCTATAAAAATCAGTAGAATGCCCTAATGTTGTGATTTTAAAATTTAAAAATAGGGGAAAAAATAAATACTCACAAAATTTATTTAATTCCATGATCACATTTCTTGAATTGAGGGGCCTATAAGATTTAAACTACAGGATTTCAAAATTCGGGTTCGAAAAATTGCAACCTACTTCAAACTTTTTTGCATTTTTTTGAAGCTAAATTTCTTGAGCATGAGGAATTTAATGCTTTTAGATATATTGATGATTTGATTTTGTTTAATTAAGATAATTATAATTTTATTTATAGTATTTATCCTGGAGATTTGGTCTTGAAGAAAACTAATGAAGATTGTTTTAATGTTGAACATTTAGATTTTAAAATTGATATTGTTAACAGCTTTATTAAAATTGGTGTCTTTGATAAAAGAAAAGCTTTTAAATTTAAAGTTATTTTTTTCTGCAACTTTAATACTAATTTGTGTAATAAAATATTTAAAAATTTAGTTTTTTCACAATTGGTTAGAATCAAAAGTATTTGCAATAATGTTGAAAGTTTTCAGGAAGCTGTGAATAGTTTTTTTAAATAATTTGAGTAAAAATGATTTTCCTTTTAATTTTTGTAATGTTAAATTTTTAATTAAAAAAATGATTGAAGAATTCTAGGTTTTTATATATTTTTTTTCTTTTAACAGGCCGCAATTCAAGTCTTAACTGAGCAGCCCCAGTTAAGCATTCTATTAATTTATCTACGTATCTCCTTCTCCTGACCTTTTCATATCATTTTTAAACTTTTACTGCGCATTATTATAGGGGGCGTTGTTTTTCAGTTTTTAGTGTTTTCTTTTCCTCCGCTTTTGAAGTTGATTCTNTCGCAGATATTTGCGGAAACAGTAGCTGCAATGTCGATGGATGCAAGTTTGACTTTGCCAAGTGATGACTCCCCTTAAAAGAACATTAAGGAATCATAAAGCCAAGGGTATACCAAAAGAGCCCCTGGATCTCAAAGACTTGAAATTGGAAGGTGTGTATAATTTAATAATTTAAATAGTATATTTCACTCCTGTAAAATGAAGTTTTATTTCATTTTATTCATTTATTTATAGATCTTTATATTGGGAAATTTGAGATTTGAATGTTTAATTTTTAAAAAAAGGTGAATGTTAGTTTTTCATAACATTTTGAAGTATTAAAATAAGTAAATTTGTCATAGATAAAAACTTATTACAATGCTGACACATTAAAAAGCAGCTATTTTAAACCAATCAGTAAAAGTAATAGTCGCTGCAAATAAGAATTAAGCTTCATTCTATAAAAATCAGAAGAATGCCCTAATGTTGTGATTTTAAAATTTAAAAATAGGGGAAAAAATTAATACTCACAAAATTTATTTACTTCCATAATCACATTTCTTGAATTGAGGGGTGTATAAGATTTAAACTACAGGATTTCAAAATTCGGGTTCGAAAACTTGCAACCTACTTTTAATTTTGTTTTTTTTCCAAAGCCATTCTACTTTGTTCATGTGAAAAATTGAACAGAATATCATAAAGCAGCATAATCTTCAAAACTTAATTTTTGATTAAGAATTGCATTGGGTAATATAATTGAACTACTAAACTTATTTCAGCATTTCGAGTCTGATAATAATTTTTTTTCAAACTTGTTATGTTCTAATAGCAAGAAACTTGTTGTGTTATTTTACATAAATGTATTTTATCAAGTATAAAATATATGTTCTTTAATTTCTGACAAGTATAGTTTTGTCAATTTAGACTCTTGTATCAACGATCTCTGCCTAAAAATTTCAATAAGAAAATAGTCACACTGAAGTTTAAAAAAATCTGTAAAAATTATGTTCACTTATATTTAGTTCCATTTCATTAAGTGAAATTGTTTCAAATAAATATAGTTATTAATTATATATTCTACAGTTTATAAAAATTTATAATCTATATAAGTATAGATGACTAAAACGATTAACAACAACAACAAAAAAATGAGCTAGCATTGTAGGACAGAAAAATTTTATGTTACTTTGTTTCATTTCCTTTTTTTCTTTATTTCTAAGGTTAAATAAATGCAAAAAAAAAAAAAAAAATTTAATTAATGAAACATTTGTGTTTAATCATTATAAAAGAATCATAACCTTAGAACGTAAATTTTTATTCATGTTATTTGCTGAAAGAAAAGCTTTTTTAATTCTACCATTAGAAATTGATTTATATGTTGAAATGACAGCATTAGCGCTTTTTATAAAAGCCAAATTACAAAGCAAAAAGCAATCAATTCTGAGGAAACCACTTTTCTTTGTTCAACTTCCCCATAACATCTCTTTCAACAACTATCTCTACCCGCGGAACCCCAGATCATCACAAAACGGGTTAAAACAACACTCTTCCGAAGAATATATTTTTTAACTTTTCATTCTTTACATGTATATGTGTTTTCATGGGTTAGCCATTTTCATTACGCTTCGAAAGCAAAGACTACAATTGCATTATTTGAAAAAAAATATGTACCCTACAATCCAATTTTTTCTACTTTTTTTTAAAAAATTAATATATAATTCAAAGTATATTAACTGAAAGTTATATTATCCATGGAATTATCTTTGTATAGGCGAGTCATAAAACTTAAAATGTTCTAGAGATATGGTGAATAAAGAACCGAAAGAATATTTTCTTTCGCTTGTTTTCTGTCTTTATAACATCAGAATTCGGAGTCCGAACGATCATTGTAAGGTATTATACACTATTATTAAAATTTCCACTATTAATAATATTAATCCTGAACTGTCTTGGTGTTCTCTGGGAAGACATTTACTCTACTCCTCTTTTGGTGTTCGATTTTCTTCAGGTCAACGGGTTCATAGATCTGGTCTGACTTCGTCAGGCCAGAAGAGGATAAGCAACAACAACATTAAAATTTGTCTCGTGGAAGAAAAGGAAATTTGCAGAAAACCCCTTATTTTATTATTGGTAGATAGTGAATAAATATTAATATTATTTAGTATTTAGATGAGTTAATTAAAACTAACTTTTTTTTTAAATTAAATTTATTTTCTGTAACCTTAATACATATACAGTTCAGATTGTTTCCCAGAACCTAAATATATATATTTTTTTGTTTCTGGGGAATGGAAAGAAAATCTACTGTTTGATAATGGCAGTCTTCAGGATAGAATTTTATTATTTGGCACAAGTGATACCCTTTACCTATTGCAAGAAACATCAAAATGGTTTCTAGACGGCAACTTCGGTCTTGCACCCAGACATTTCACTCAACTTTATGTTGTGCGGGTGGGGGTTGAAGATGCATATATTACAGCAATATATGCCTTACTTCAATCAAAGAAAAAATCGACATACGAAGAGCTTTTTAGAACTTTAATTGAAGTAAGTGCCGTCGAGAAACTGAATCTTGACCCGGAATTTATTCATATGGATTTCGAATTTTTATTATTGATTCCTCTTATTTGAAATATAGTTAGAAAATATATTTTAAGTTATAGTTAGGAAATAGTTTTTTTTAATTTAAAATAAAATTTGATTTGGGATCGATGTAAATAATACCTTTTATATAAATTCTAATTTGTACTTGAAAAAATTTGCATTTTAATATTCTCAATATTATTCTTGTATGTATCGATTTATTTATACTTAATAAATCTCAGATGCTTTTGGATATTAGATAGGACCTATTTTGAATATTAGCTAACGTTACATCTTATTAAAATTGAATTAAATTTTTATTTAACCTAAAACTATTTTAATGTATACTTGATTTTCTTTTATTTTAGATGGTTTGTTTAGATTTAATAACTAATGAAAATTTTATTCTCATATTTGAATTGTTGTGAACAACGTTTCATTATTTTATCCCTATCAGTAATGTTTTTGTGTATTACAGAAATATGGCAACTTCCAAAATAGATAAAAAAAAGCAATGAAAAGAGCCTCTACAGAAGTGGCAGCCGAAGGCTTTAAATGGCTGGCTGAGATGGAAAGTACTTTTATAGAGCTGTATGGAAAGTATGAATATATTTGGAATGTAAAAAATCCTTTGTATAAACATAGAATGCTTCGACGAGTAAGTTTCGACGAAATAAGTAAGAAGTTGGTCGTCGATTATCCTCTGCATGCAGCAGAATTTACAATTGGTGAGTATTTAAATCTTGATTAACAGTTTTTACATTGTGATTATATTTGAAGTGACACATATAATTAAATTTTATGTTAAAAACTAAAATGAGCTTGTAAAAAATGGATGATAAACATTAATTTATTTGTATATTATATTTTATGATATCAATAATATAAATTTGTGCAGT